CACACACACACACACACACACACACACACACACACACACACACACACACACACGGTAGCACACAGGTAGACCGATGGCTGTCTAGGTTCTGAGGCTCTGTCAGGCACATGACTGGAGGGAGGTGGGGAGGGAAGAGAAGGCAGTAGTGGGAAGAAGAGGGTAAGACCATCTCCAACAGTAGCCCCCTGATGGGCTCGGGCAGGTGGTGTGCCTTTAATCTCCAGCACAGGCAGACATGCTAGGTAGCAGGTTCCAGGCCAGCAGGGCCACAAATGAGACCCTACCCTCTGAGGGCAACTGACTGAAAGGCCCCAGCCGGGGTCAGGGAAGAATCGTTTCCATTAGCCTGGGAAGGAACCTGAATTGTGGTTCTGAGAAAGGCAGGCACAAGTGGACAACCACATCCAGAAATGCCTGTGCCTTGCAAGTGTCTGTCCGGTCAGTTCACCCACAGCAGCCAGGTGTGAGCCAGGCACTGCTTCCCACAACCCCCTCTGCTGCTGGGCACTCAATTCACCCACACCCACACCCACACAGCAGCCAGGTGTGAGCCGGGCACTGCTTCCCATAACCCCCTCTGCTGCTGGGGACTGAATTAAGGACTTACTTTGTTTTTCTGGTACTGTGGATGGAACCCAGAGCCTCGAACATATGAAGCATACACTCCATTGGCCCCCTTTAGGTGTGGCTTACATGCTCAATCATCCAGGAATGAGGAAGTCAGCGCCCAAATCCTGCAGCTGCTCTATCCAAGAACACGGTCACTCCATCCATACAAGATGTGGCACACAGAGCACTCCCCTTTCATCTAGAATCCGTAGCAGTAGGGGTCTTCTGTGCCATGTTTAGAAACCAGAGCCACATGCTCAGCCTTCCATCCCTCTGTAGTAGTCAACTGTCCTAGGATGGCCCCTGCCAAGACAGCTGGGCTTTGTGTATGCAGGACCAGGGATCGAACCCAGGGCTTCCAAGCAAGTGATCTGTATAGACCGGAGAAGTGGAGGGAGGAGGCACAGGTCAAAGACTTAGTCCAAAGCTCCCGTCCTGACTGCCAGGCTGCTCTCAGGAGGTGGCTGTGAGGCGGTGAGTGGGAGGAAGCCTGTGGAGAACCGCTCAGCTCTCTGCACAGGGCACAGCAGTCTTTCCTTCAGTATCCTCTCCACTTCCATACCCAAGTCTAACTGAAGCCAGACGCTCCCTACAGCGGACGGCAGAGTGACACACACAAGCAGACGCTCACCTTCTAGCTTTTGTTTTGTTTTGTTTGTTTGTTTGTTTGAGACAGGGTTTCTCTGCGTTGCTTTGGAGCCTTTCCTGGAACTCACTCTGTAGCCCAGGCTGGCTCTGCTTCCTGAGTGCTGGGATTAAAGGTGTGCATCACCACCACCGGGCTCACTTCCAGCTTTGACATTCAACTGTCCTGATTCGGCTTCCTCACTTCCGGACCCTCACTGCCCTCACCAACTTTGCTCATGTGACCATGCTCAGGGCTCCCACTTCCTTGGCCCTAACCCTCTTCACCTTTCTCAAGAATCCAGGGTCATTCCTACCCATTCCAGCAACTGGGGTCAGGAAACCCAATCAGAGAAACCTGCAAAGGAAAGTATTTGGATTCCACCCTTCCCCGTGACCAGTGAGCTCTCCAGCTCTTGGGTTAGAGTGAACCAAGACGGTGCTTAGTGTTAATAGCCTGCCGAGGGACATCACTCCCTATACTGACCAGCAGGAAAGAAGGAGCATCCTCCTCAGCCATTCCCAAGATTTCAAGATTCCAGAGCATCCTGAAGTGGATGCCCAGCTCCCCCTAACACAGTGGTGTAACCCATCCTAAACAAATGCCCAAATACAGAGGAAGCACTACATTTCTGCTCACGTTCTATTCTAATTGCATACACGTGCTTGACTGGAGGTCAGATGCCGGGGCCTTGAGAAACTCACACTAACCTCGAGGACAGGAAACACACCCCTGTGAAGGGGACGGTTTTGCCTTTCCTCGCACCTAGGCTCATCTAAGCCCGCTTCCTCCAAGTTCATTTTGGAGGCTGCCTTACCCAGATTGTGCTGAAGCCAATCACTTGGATGTGGGTCCTTTGTCAAATCGTGACACACAAGCCATGGGAGGCTATTCGCCCTGTGGTACCCAGACTTACCGTCAGGTTCCCTCCCTCATCCTGCGTCCCCTCAAAGCTGACAGGTTTGGGCAAGAGCCACAGAGGGCTCCTCTACCTCCCTTGAACCTGAGTGACTAAGGGACAGGGAAGAATGTCACCGCTGCTCCAGCTTGTTCTGGTGTCACCAGCCTGCCATCAACTCAAGTGCTTGTGAGTGTTTACTGTTCTGTGTGTGGGGAGAGGGAGGAAAAGACAAACCCGGACCAGGCTGGCCTCCAACTGTCGGAGATCTCCCCGCTCTGCTTGAGAGCGGGTTCCAGGCGGGCACCACCACACCCGGCCTCTATTGCTGTCTTATGAAAAGGCTGAGGCCAGGCTCATAGGCTCACACCTGCAATCCAGCACTTGGGAAACAAAGGCAGGAGGACGTTTACAAGTGTGAGGTCAGCAAGCCACACAGGGGCGACACTCGATTTTAATCCCAACACTCGGGAGGCAGAGGCAGGTGATCACTGTGAGGCCAGCCTGATCTACAGAGCAAGTTCCAGGAGAGCCAGGGCTACACAGAGAATCCCTGTCTCAAAACAAAATTAAAATAAAAAAGGAAAAGAAAATGCAGTTCAGAAAGTGATCTATTTATTAATAAATAAGGAAAGCACTTGAGAACGATGTTCCTAATTTATGAGCTGAGGGAGCCTGGAGGAAGGAAAGGAAGGAATACTTAGAGGGTTGGTGAGGGGTCGTATGGCTCAGTGGTTTGGGAGCCAGACATGGGTGGAAAGCACTGTTCCTGAGGGCGCTGACTCAATGGCAGGAGAAAGGCTGAAGGGAGAACTAGCCAGGAAAGAAACAGAGAGGAAACTGAGTGACAATGAAAACTTCACAGTAGTATGTGGGACTCAAACTCAGCACTGAAGCAAGGAACTGGGGTTGGGGTGTGGGGTGTGGACTTCCCTGCTCATCACCCCTTTTCTCTGTGGAGTTGGGCAGTGGCAGCAGCAGAGGGAAGGGGAGTGGAGGAGCGGGAATGTGAGCTTCCCAGAGAAGATGCATCCCTCAGGACCCCTGTGGAGTCCCGGGTGAGGGTGCACTGAGACGGGAAACCACGCACCCCAAACACAGGCAGCTGGACGGACCACTGCACGAACAGATGGCGGTCTATCTGCCCAGCTGTGCCCTTTGCGTTCTCACTCCCCAAATCCAGGCCTACACGGGCGGGGAGACACCAACCCATGCACAGGGTGGCCATACGCAGGCTACGGTCCCCTCATTCGCAGGGTTGGAAAGACCTAGGGCCAGAGGAAGTAAGGGCCACGTTCGGACCCTGCAAGAGCTTTAGTCCCTAGAGCAGAGGCTCCCAACCTCCTGAGGCTGGGACCCCTTAGTCCAGTTCCTATGCTGTGGGAACCCCGACCTTCACATTATTTCGTTGCTACTCCGGATCTGTAATTTTGCTACTGTTATGAACGACAGTATCTGATATGCAGGATACCTGATATGCGACCCCTGTGAAAGTCACTCAACTCCCAAAGGGGTCTCGACCTACGGCCCTAAGTCTATCAACAGGTGGTAAACCCAGCTACCTTCAGGTTTGAGCCCTTCAGAAGTTCGTCAGTCACAGCCCTCACACCTGGTGCTTGACTGAGACTTCCGTCCGGGGGTGGCAGGGAGAAGGGCTCACATCAGTGTTCCCGACACCCCTGACTCCTCCATGACTTCTCTCCACCCACTGAAGCATGTCCTCCCACCCTTCCTCTGCAGAGAAAGAACAGTGTGGAAAGGGAGCGTCATAGCGCGTCCCCGTCCCAGCGCGTCCCCGTCCCAGAGCAATGTCCCCATCACAGAGCAACATCCCCGCCCCAGCGCGTCCCCGTCAGTGTCCCTGTCACAGTGTCCCCATCCCAGCGCGTCCCCGCCAGTGTCCCTGTCACAGTGTCCCCATCCCAGCGCGTCCCCGTCAGTGTCCCTGTCACAGTGTCCCCGTCCCAGCGCGTCCCCGCCAGTGTCCCTGTCACAGTGTCCCCGTCCCAGCGCGTCCCCAGTCAGTGTCCCTGTCACAGTGTCCCCATCCCAGCGCGTCCCCGCCAGTGTCCCTGTCACAGTGTCCCCGTCCCAGCGCGTCCCCGTCCCAGCGCATCCCCCTCACAGTGTCCCTGTCACAACGGGTCCCCGCTCGTCCCCGTCAGTGTCCCTGTCACAGCGGGTCCCCGTCAGTGTCCCCGTCAGTGTCCCTGTCACAGCGGGTCCCCGTCAGTGTCCC